AATTGTTTGATATGCAAACTAAAACAGTAATTGACCACTTACATGGCAAACATGACAAATGTTGGCCTGAGGTTTGCTGGATTGTAGAAAATCCAGATCTTGAACTAGGTATACCTAATTTAATTACTTATAGTATTGTACAATGCAAAGATTTAGAAGAATTTTTACGAAAAATTATGAAATTACCAGGTCAGCAAAGTCTTATAACAACGATTAGAACTAGTGCTAATAAGGCTATTAATTATTTGAAATTAAATTATACTGATAAAAAAACAGACTATCTAAAGTCTTTCGCAGCTCGCCATGCATTAGCAGTATTACATAATAATGTTGGCCTGGTAGAGATGTTAACTATTATAAGAAAGGTTGGCAAATTATGTAAATTTTCAAATCAAGATATACATAATATTAGTAAGATATAGGAACAAAGAGAGTATCGACGTGCAGCAAATGTAGCTAAAATTGAAGCCCGAAATCAAGCTCGTGCTCAAAAAATTATGAATCAGAAAGCTTGTCTTGAAGGATTTAATTTTGATCAAGTATGTAAATAATTTATCAAATATTTTTTAAAAAAATAACAAGTATTCATACCTATTTTTATTGTAGGATCTAGTACCGTATGGTCAAATAGTTCAAAAAAGTTTAGAAACTATGCAATTTCATCCTTCTTTTGCAACAAAGATACCTAATTTCAAGACTATTATCAAGTGTGGCAGTTGCCAATCTTTTCCTATATGACATTCTAATGGTCTTTGTCTTGTATGTGGCTTTTATAAAATTCATAGTTGCTCTCAGCAGATGCCAAATCGAGTTTATCACAATAAAGACAAAGATGAACCAGATTCAAAAAATAGAATGTTAGATGCAATTGTTAGTGAAGTGTTTAACTTTACAGAATTCAGACCAAAGCAACGAGAAAGTATTGATAGTTTTACTGCAGGAAATGATACTTTGTGTATTTTACCTACTGGTGGAGGAAAGACCTTTATTTATGCTTCTTCAGCTTTACTATTTATGGGATTAACTGTAGTTTTTACTCCGCTAAAGGCATTAATGGGAGATCAGATGGTAAATATTGTTACAGCGAATTATTTTAATTATTATATTTCAAATATGTTTAATTTTTTGAGTTTAAAATAGCAAGAGCTAGTAAATATAGGTATCCCATCGGCTATATTATACGTATCTTCTGAACAATCACCTGATGTTCAAGAAGCAATTTTTTCTGAAATTGCATCTGGATTTATACGAATACTACTAGTAACTCCAGAGAAATATATAAAAAATCTAGCATTTTCTTGTATGTTACAAAATATTGCATGTAATCAAAAATTGCAATTCGTTATTGATGAGGCACACGTATAAATCAATATGTTTATTTTCAGTAAGTTATAAAAATATTAACATTGCTAAAGAACCTAATACTAATATATTATATATTATCTATAGAAATGATTGGCTAAATTAAATCTACTTAAACAAGATTTCTCCTCTTTACCAATTCTTCTTCTTACTGCAACTTGTAGCCAAACAAATGCACAAATGATCAAAGATAACCTTGGATTATTAGATCTAAAAATATTCTGAAGTTCTACAATATCTCGATCTGAAATTCGATTGGAAGTCCTAAATAAGCCAGCACAAAAAAAAAATCAAACAAAGA